TCAGCCAAATACATCTGAGGATGGGAAACAGGTGATTTATAAAAAGCACAAATATTTCCTTTAGCTATTCATCAGTCTAATAATTCAGACTGTAAGAGCTCTTATACATTTGATACATATATATATTTTTGTTTAACTTGTGTGTGAAGGTCTCCTCGTCTTTATTTTATTATTTATTCAGCTTTCAGAGGTATGGAGAAAGGAGAAATGTTAGAAGTCCATCCAATTACATCTCTGGCCTTGAATCTCACAGTCGTAATATGAACAAATGAGTCTTTTGTCCCAGAGTGGTGGCGCACTCTTTTTTCAACCACAGCCACTCTCTTGAGGCTGGGCAAGCGTTTAAAACATTTTTCAGCATAATCTCTTTCAGTCAGGCAGTCCAGCTGTAGGCAGTACTGGCTGATGCAAACATCAAGAGAAAAAAAACCCCACACACACACATATATATATATATATATATATATAACCTAAATCAATGTTTTTCTTCAGGTTGGCAGGAATTATTCAGACTGATGTGACAAACCTGACAAATAGATTACTAGTTCTGGAGCATATTCTTTTCTGTGTAAATAAAGTTTTTATTTCCAATAAACTGTATTTTTCTATATTCTAATATCTCCCTTCATGCACTCAGTACATGTTCATAGAGAACAAAAAAGTATATTTGCTCTATCTATAGACATAAGCAGCAGTATATTATGTACCACTATTGCCTACAGCTCCTTCTTCATCTGTCACACTGTGGTCAGTTTCTCAAATTTTGTTAGCACAACTGTCATCTATACCTGCATATTCATCTGCATCACACTCCTTTACAGAATCCCCAGTGTTCCTATGTATGTGTCAGAATGCAAGAACTGCAGCCAAGTAATATAAGGCAAAAAACATGTTTTTTAATTGACTTCTGCTCGTGTCACAGTGTTCACGGTCATCATGTAGGATCCACCACCAATTACTGTTCTCCCAGAGGGGCTGCATGATGACCCAGTTATTTTCTGGATAGTTCCTGAGTTTCCAGGGTGCTAGTTTCTTTGCTGTGGTGGCTGTGAAGCCACTTGCTCTTGTGGCCATTACATTAATGTGTAAATTCCTGCGCCTCATGCCGAGGCACAGAGAGCCGGGTGTTGATCCAGTGCTTTACACTTCAGAGGTCCTTGCCTGATTTTTAAGCTTTACGTGTGTGTTTCACATTCTGTTAATCAAACTCATACATACTTGGTCCCAGCAATTCCCCTTCCTATGCATATAGATCCCAGGTTTTTCTGTTTTTTTCACAACTTTCTATTGTGTTTATTTTCTTTCCAGTGTGATTTATGTTTTCTTTTTGTTCCTGGTTATTTCCTCCATTTTAAAATATCCTTTTTATGCTCTAGACTTGACACTGTACTGTTCCTTTTTTGGCAATTTTATTTCCTTCTCATTTAACTTTAGCCCCATTTACACTACCCTTTTGAAGCCGGGCTAAGAACACTCGAAGCACCATAACTGAGACAACTGTTGAGTGTAAATGGGACACAACCGAATCGTGCTAAATCTAGTACTAGTTCAACAGTTTGGCTCGGCATAGTTTAGTTGTGGCTCGGTTCCCTGATAAGAAAGAGCACATGAGCAGACTGCGTCATCTTCTATTTACAGTCAGCTGACTCATTTTGTGGGTTTTCCGCCGTGTCCGGCTTTTTAATTCACAAATCTCTTTACCTGTTCACAACATGAACTTCTTCTTCAACACGAAGTGCGTGGTGCAACCTGGGATGATGCAGAGACCAAGGCTCATTGAAATTTGGGTGGAGGACACTACCCAGCCACATAAGTTCCTGTATGTTATGGACACCGCCATTTTTGTTTTGAGTAATTCCCGCCTTGAGAGCTGTAGCATCGTGGACCAATGATAGGAGTCAAGGAACCTTGCTAGAGTGATTGTAAATGGTTGTAAGGAATCTTGTTCGGCACAGTTAACTGATCCAAGCTCGGTTCGAACTCGGCACCGATTAGTTTCAGAAGCATAGTGTAAATAGGGCAATTGGTTTTACCATACATTGCCTGTCGTCTCTACAATCCATTGCTCACATTCCCATGATATGAAGTATTGATGAAGTTTATTTTCATTATCTTAAGTCTCAAATTGTGAGGGTCTGGTTGACAGAAAGAAGATCTTCCCCAGGGCCATAATGATGCAAATCTAGTTGTACATAAACAAATGAAATAATGGACAATTGTAAAAGATTTTTTCCCTCTGCCTTTAACATATGACAAAGTCGGGAATCCATGAGATATACAGTGTGTCACGGTTTTGCACTTTTTGGTTCTGTTTAAGTTTTATTTTTCCATTATTTGTTGTTTTTTGGTTGTATTTAGTTCTTATGTATTTCTTGTTTACCCTCTGTTGCCCTCTTTTGTCATTCTCCTTCCCCTTGCTCCCTTCTAGATTCTTCTGTCCACACCTGCTCCCAATCAGTTGATTACCCCAGTCTGTGATCTGTTTGACATTAAAAGTCCTCCTCTTCAGTTACTGTTTGCTGGTTTCACCTCTTGTGTGTTTTCTTGGACGTCTCCTGCTTTTCGGTTTTGCCGTATTTTGTTTATATTTTTATTTTTGCCTCAGTTGCCACCTTTTGGATAATTAAATCAGCAAGGAACCTTCAATCCTCCCCTAAACCGACACAACCTGATACAATGGGGTTTTGCAGGTTTTCCCACTTGTAAAGTATGTAGTCTTTAATTTTTAACAAAGGAACTCTTAAACTGGGACAAAATCTAAGCAAAAATCCAAAGAGTCATGATTTTTTTTTAAAGTAATTAATGGGCATTTCATTGCATGATATATTTGATCATCTACAAATCAGTAAGAACTTTGGCTCTAACAGACCTGTTACGGTGCGTTCACACTGAATGTGAATATGCAAATATGTTGGGTCAATCGCTTGCTTTTGATCACTTCACATTTTGGCAACAATTGGTGCGGCCAGCAGGGACAACGCTTCACTCTCTTTACAACAAAATCAAATAGGAGATGCTTCTGTCTGCTTGCTGGCTTCAATTAAAATGGCGGGCCGGGAGGAAGATTGTACCATATTATGGCAGGGAATGGATGGGGCAAAATATTTGGATATTTTGCCTCATCTACAACCTCCTTCCCTCAGTAAGAACAATGATGATGGGTGGTTCCTGGGTCTTCCAGTGTGACAACGACCTGAGGCACACAACTAGGGTAACTACAGGGTGACTCTCTAATAAACACTTCAAGGTCCTGGAGTTCTCTCCTGTGGAACCAACTAACAGTTTTAGTTTGTGAGGCAGACACCCTGTCTATTTTTAGGGGTAGGCTTAAAACTTACCTTTTTGATAAACCTTATAGTTAGTGTTGTACAGGTTATCCTGAGCTATCTCTATAGATATGCTGCTATAAGCTAAGACCTCTGGAGGACATAGGGACCCCTATTTCATCATTCTGCTTCATTCTATCTCTATTCTCCCACTCTGCAGAATCTCTTTGTTCAATCTCTAACGTTATGCTCTCTCTGCTTTTCCTCAGAGTAGCTTTGCCTTGTCTGTTCCTGTTTGGCTGTGACTCCATCCTGG